AAAAAAAAAAAAAAAAAAAAACGGCCACCTAGGGGATGCATTGGTGACCAGATTCATTCTGGGATATGTCGGTTACAAAGTTCTTTGATTTTCTCTTAATTTTGCAGAGAAAATCAAGAAAAATCAAGCCCTCATGCAATCGAAATACAATGGATTGCATGAGGTAGGCCAAGCACATGTTTTAGGTGCACCAGGAGCCAAAATGAGGACCGGATGCACTTGGAAGTTGGTCGTTTCTTTTTCTTTCAATTTGGGGCTAATTGTGGGGTAGTGGGACTAGGAAAATGACCCATATTGCAGTCCGAGTTACAGCGGACTGCATGGGGAGGGCCAAATACATGTTTTAGGTGCGTCCGGAGCCAATATTGAGCTCGGATGCACCCAAAAATTGAACGCCTCATTTTCCTTTGGCATGGGGCACAGTGTGGGGCTGTGGGACTAGGAAAATGGCCATGACCGCAGTCCGAGAAATAACTGACTGCATGAGGATGCCTAGGCTAAGGGAAAATGAGTCACGGCAAGCCCAAAAGGCCACAAAGAGGTAATTTCGGCATGGGGCAAATAACGACGGCAAGCGGCAGCCATGAGATGAGATCTCGCGGCCACGAAAAATCGGCATTCATGTGGCACTCACGAAAGAGATAGTGGGACTGTTGGGGACAAGGGGAGTCCCAAATAGAAATGGGACGTCAACCGAAGTGACGTCGGGGACTAAACGGGCCCCAACGAAAATTGTCGAAAATTGGGAGTTTGTCGACGGCACCGCCGGCAGGACCGAAAAATGGGACTAGCATGGGAAAGTGGCGGGGACTTGAGGTGTCCCAAGAGAAACTACAAGCCAATATGGGAAGTGAATGCGCAAGACCAACGGCGTCGTTAAGATCGAAGATCTTGACGGTGGCAAAATATTAGCACCGCTAGTGGAGCCCAAAAGGGAGAGCTGGAGGTGAAAAGAAAAGAAAAACAGGAATTGGGAGGGCTGCCTGGCAGTCCGAGATATCTCGGACTAGCTAGACATGTGAAAATAGAACTTCAAGGGGCCCCGTGCCAAGAAAAGGCTGTCAAAAGGAAAATCGGAGCCCAGGGGACTCAAAATCGGACAAACGGAGGTAGAATGGAGCCCCCTAGGAGCATGGAGGAGCCATTATTAAGGTCCGAGGTGTAACGGCCAACAACCGGCCATGAACCTGGTTATGAATGAGGTTTCAAGGCCTAGAAAGAGAGTGCACAGCTATTTGACACTTGTCACAGCAAAAATAAAAGAAAAAGAAAAGAAAAAGGGGAGAAAATAGGGAGAATGAGACAAAACGGGAGAAAAGGGTGGAGGAGAATGTGCCGGCCTATTGGGACTGCAGAAGTAGGGACTGGCAGGTCCCAATGATGACCTCATCCCTCCTAGAATGGGGGAGGGCAATCCGGATTGCTGAGATATGGCCCTTGGGGCCATATCTTCACATTATCTGAATTGAAAAGAAAAAAATGAGAGAAAATGCAAAAGGAAAATGGTCGGGTTTCTTTTTGGCCATGGATCTGATATCGGATCTCATGATGGAGGGTTTCTTCTTGGTATTTTTTAATTGCACCTTAAATTGTTAGGTGAGATTTTCATGTAGCATAGTATATATCATAGAAATCGCATGTGTATAAGATTTTGTTTTGAACCAGGATAGCCAGTGAAACTTTGTTTTAATCGTAGTCTATTCTTGCTAATATGTAAGGGTTGCAAAAAATAGGTTGTCTTTATACCTCATGCCATCGTGCTGATGTCAACTGTTTATACTACATTATTCGGAGGTCGGACGCCACCAAATCAAAATGTATGGCGCCGCCAACCAACGTAAAGAAAAAAGGACGTGTTGGCGCTTAGGCAAAGCTTAACATGTAAGCCGCTTCGACAATAAAAAACTCGTAGGTAGTTTTTTTTCTTTTTTTTTGCTAATCACCATTACCTTCCTTGATGTGGAGAAAAATGAGAATGTATCCTATACCAGATTCTTTGGGGATGGCGCCCAATGACGCTTGCTGTTGATAAATTCCATAGGCAGCCGCTGTCGTATTTCGGCCTCCAAAACTCGTGGGGACCCATCCTCCATCCGATGTATGAAAAAGGCAGTGGTACCTTAACTCAAGATTTCATGATGTTCAAATGTTGACGCCAAAAATCCTCACAACCAACCTGGTATACAAGAATAAGCACCATCCAACTTACCTAATAGGGTGTTCCTTGCATAACCTGTCCCCAAATTCAACCGCAACTCTCAGGCTGCAACAAATGCTTAGCTTTCCTACTTCTACCCTACTGTAAACCTGCTAAATAGATTGGAACTACCAGTACATGATCCCATCCTTAGTAAAAATGTTTTGTCACATGGTTCGAAAACCTTGGCATTAGCATACTGTAGATAAAATAAATTGGCAACCGATATCGCATTTCGGCCTCTTACAGGGGTCCGCAACCGATGTAAGGTGTGTATTGGTGGATTAAGTTAGTGGTGGTGTTTGAAAACCAAACTGCACTTTTATCGAAATTTCACCTGCAGTGGTGGTGTTTTGGAAACCATCCTAAGCCTATGCAGGGGACCCCTGCAAGTATAGCTACTTTTCACAATCCAAGGGGGGGCACATTCCCTTTCACCTTAATAGGCGGTGGTCAAGGAATTGCTGAGATATGGCCCTTGGGGCCATATCTTCACATTATCTGAATTAAAAAGAAAAAAATGAGAGAAAATGCAAAAGGAAAATGGTCGGGTTTCTTTTTGGCCATGGATCTGATATCGGATCTCATGATGGAGGGGAAACAACCATTTTTTGTGGGCCAGCTCAAAACAGCTAGCTCCAGAATGAGGTGGCAGCCCAAAATGGAAAGGAACAAAAGAGGGAAAAAGATGGAACTGTGCATTTGGCCCAAAAGGAGAGCCATATGCACCAAAAATTGAAAAATTGGACTTAGGGGCTCAAATTTGAAGCAAGGACCACCATGGGGTAGCTCGGAATAATGCTGGCTCTGGATCTCAGCCTGATCCAAAGCTGAAAAATGTGCCGCCACATGGAAAAATGCTCCGGCTTACCCAAGGGATGCAAAAATCAGAAAAAGTCGAGAAAAAGGCCTACAAGGCCTTTTTCTTCCGAGTAGGCTGTCCCTTGGGCCTTGGACTCAAGGGGGCAGCATTTTTCAAATGGCATGAGGCTGAAAAGAGGCCCAAGGGGCAGTCCGAGTTGGTACCAACCACTCGGACTGCATGAACCTGGCCAAAATGAGGCCCACGTGCCCCCGGAGAGGCCTAATGGTGAAAATTGGCCATGGGGGTACCTCGGTTCACCATGGGGCACATGGGGAGCCCCATGGGTTGGTCGGACTGCTGGTTACAACCTACATAAGCTGGGAGTTCAGTCCGCCACACTCCCATTTGCATGAGGAGTGCCCATGAGAGCACCACACTCACTTGGAGTGAGAAGAGGGGAACCCATGCCTGTATGGGAGCTTAGAGGAGACTAGGAGCTAGGAGAGGAGCTCTAGAGGCTGGTGGTAGGGAGGTTGGCACTAGGAAGGTGATCCGCCATACCCCCCGGGGTGTGAGGAGGAGAGAGAGGCTAAAGGGAGTCCCATTAGCCCTCCTAGAGGGAAGGACTCCATAGCCATAGTGGTTGGAGCTTGTGGCAACTTGGGAGGAAGTGGGAGAGGAAGAAGGGGAACGGATTGAAGGAGAAGGAAGCCATAGCTAAGTAGGGAGAAACTTCATCAAAGGTTGGGATATCAACTTCAAGACCAAGGAGAGGTTAGTGGAGAGAGTCTTCTTCTTCTTCCTCTTCTTCTTCTCCTTCTTCTTCTTCTTCTTCTTYTTCTCCTCTTCTTCTTCTTCTTTTTTTTTTCTTCTCCTTCTTCTTCTTCCCCTTCCCCTCTTCTTCCTCCTCTTCTTCTTCTCTTCTCCTCTTCCTTTATAGATATCTCCCAAATATTTGGACAGCCAGTAGAAGACTTTTCCACTAGTAGTAGACTCTCCATTGTCCATTTTTCTAATCTAGTGTAAGTCACAACTTTCCCTTGTGTGTGTGTGAGTCCAAAAGTGAGTTTCACTCACTTTCTCTCCACTCTCTCCTTCAATCTGCACTATGGTGTAAATCGCAAGTTCAATCTTGGTTCATTTTAGTGTTTTTGTGAT